AAAAAAAACACAGTCATACTGGCAAGACCTCAATGCTATTCTCATGCTTTATTAAAGACTCCAGTAATTCAAAAGGAAATATTCACATTCTCTTTTCAGATCTGGAGGATGCACAAGATACATAAATATTAAGTTGAACCACATAAAATTGTCATATTTATAGGTCAAACAGTCAAATATAGGCACTTTTGGTAAGTCTTCATATAATACATCTGCTTAATCCTGTAATTTACAGATACTGTCCATTTCATGAGGGGCAACACTCAGGTAGACCCTGCATTATATTTTTATTTTGTGGCTTCTTCTAAATAATCTCAAAATAAGGCCATGAATGCACTGGAATGAGGATAGCTGGAGCTGACATTGCTAGTACAACTCTTGAAATTCCTTGAAACTTGGTACATTTCCCATTATAACCCAGGGAGCAACATAAGCTCAGAGAGATCTGACTACAAAATAAACAATTTAGAAGCCTTGAATATAAGCTTTGAACCCAGACTTTGATCACAAATAGTTTGTCATCCTGATATTATAATAATAAGACATTGCTATTATTATACCAGATCCTATGAAACACTCATAACAATCCCTATAACACTGTAACTGTTATTATCCCCATTTATAAGAGAGGAAACTAAAGCACAGAAAGGTTAAGAAAATTACTTAAAGCTACACATCAAGGAAGTGTCAGAGCTAGAATTCAAATGCAGACTCAACCACTACACTACATGAAGTCAACTTTGAATGTTATAGCACAGGAGAAAAATAACACAAACAATGCCTAAATATGCCTATAGTCTCATGCTCACTTTTTAAAAGAAGTATTTTTGGGGGCGAGGGATCTGGCTGAGTGGTTCTACCTCATTGCCTCGCAAACATAAGGGCATGAGTTAGATCAAAGGTACCCCCCCCAAAAAAAATGTATACCACACACTCAGCTTAAAACAAGTTTTTTTTTTTATTATTCTTACTTTGCATTGTCTGTATATTTTTCTAAATTTATTTATTTCAGGTGAAAACTTACAGGGGTTCTGTGGCAATATAAAAACTTTACAATATATAATAGTAAAAAGGAAACTATAAAACAGAAAGTCCTGGGGTTATAACTCCTGTGGTGGAGCTTTTACCTAGCATGTGGGATACCCTCACTTCAATTCCCAATTACAACCCCACACACACAAAAAAAAACAAAACAAAAAAAACAGGTAACGCAGGTAAGGCAGGGATATAGGTTTGATTCCCCAGGACTTCAATAATAATATAATAAAACAACAATAAGTTACAGCAGTATGTGGTAAAAAAAAATCAACATTTTTGAAATGGATATACTTAATTCATTTTCTACTTCCACATTTAAAAATGAACACTCCTCAGCATATATTCAAAAATAACATTAGAAGTCAATTTTAATAATTCTAGTTTTAAAGAGTACAGAAATAGAGCAGGAAGTATACTATTCATGTAACTGGAAGCAAGCTTGTGAGATCTGCATTCAAACATTTAGGTTCTGACCTTTGACCCCACATATGCCAAAGGAAGTAAAGATAATGATTTGTTTAAAAGCTTTCAGTGTCACTACCTAGGAGGGATAAGCATTTAAATAAAAGGAAGAAAAAAAAGAAGGCAAAGAGAATTTTTCAGAAGAGGAAGGAAAGAAGACAGGTTTTTAAAAAAAAAAAAAAAAAAAAAAAACCAATCCCCTCTCAGAGAGAATGGCCCATCCAAATTAGAAAAAGGTCAGGTTTTTAAAAAAAAAAAAAAAAAAAAAAGACCAATCTCCTCTCAGAGAGCATGGTCCATCCACATTAGAAAAAGGATTAAGCAGATACATTCAGCTTTTCTAACAGATTTTCTTTCTCTAAGGCTTCAATACCCCTCTCACACTCACTCAGATAATCACATTAGTTTTGTCATTAAAAGCTCCCTTTCATAGAATGCACCTAAACCGCTTAAACCACCCAGAGAGGTTGCATACATTATCAAACACCATGACAAACGGAAGAGATTTTCCATCTTATGTCTTACTATTTCACTGTATCTATCTACATGCTCAAAAAACTAAGCCAAAATACTTGGTAAGTTATCAGCTAAGAAAGGATTCCAAAATTTAAAACTACTGCATTCTTTAAAATTTCTCTTTGAGCTGAGAAGAGATAGTGATTTTTATGCTGACAGAACAGGCAAATGACAGAGAGGTTTTCTATTTCCCTTTTCTCTTCTTCCTTGTGTTCTACTGGCCAAGTCCATGATTATTTCTGCATGAATGTTGCAGCTTCTGTTAACAGTAAACAAAAGTAAATGGAGGCTGAGTGTGCAAAGCCCAAAGACAAATTAAAAAGAATGATACTTGTATTGACACGGAAAATGGCATTTAGTCGCTGCCCATGGATCCTTCAGAACTGTACAAGGTCCAGGAAGAATTGGAAATCACCTGCTTTTCTTCATAACCCAACTGTTACATATTATCTCACCAAGCTAAGCCTGAGTTACAGATTCAGAAAAGGACGGCTGTTTGTCAGACCTTTAAAAAGGAGGAAGTGTATCAGAAGGAGGAGGAGTCCGGGCTAAATGGAACTATCCAAGTGAAAGAGCGGTCCCCAACTGGGTAGTGTTCCAGGGATTAATGGGTTGGGAGAACAGAGAGGGGGTCAAGAAAGGAGAAATAGAATAGACAGTGAAAGAAAGTGATCTGAAGCTAAAGATTTGAAAAGCAGAAAGAGGGAGACATAGTGGAAAAATTCTGAAAATCAAATAGGTGAGTAACTATAGGAGGAAACTGGAAATAGAGGCAATGGAAGTTTCTGAAGGAAGAGACAAGAGAGATTACACTGGGTGGCTGCAGGCAGAAAACAGAATCATAAATCATCATAAGCAATCAAGAATCCTTAGTGTTAGGCTAGGGGTATAGTTCAGTGAGGGAGCACTTGCCTAGCACGAGTGAGGCCCTGGATCCCATCCCCAGCAGCACCAAAAAAAAAGGATTTCTTAAAATGTGCAGAGATAGAATAATGTTAATAAAAATATCTGAAGTAAATGGCAAGAACTGGATTTTTAAAAAGTAGATGGTGATTATAGGGGGAAAATATAAAGTTATCTTGACTTAATAATAAACTTTCATTATATAGAAATATAGATACAGACACAGATGAAGGGCTTGCTGAATACAAAATAGATAACAAGATTTCAAGTGATTATTTAAGAGTAAAGAAGAAAATGTTTATTTACTTTTAAAGCAACAACAAAACACCTCAGAAGGAATATGAAATTAATGGAGAGAAAATTAGGCTGCTCACTGCTTGAAATCATGATAAACCAAGTAATACTAAAATGTTGTATTCTCAGGTTCTTTTTCTAGATCAGGGTCAACACAAAGGCCAAATGCAGCCTACTGCCCATTTTTATACATCAAATACTACTGAACATCCTTATTTGTTTATGAATTATCTATGGCTGCTTTCATGGTCCATAAACCATATGATCACCACAGCCTAAAATATAATCATTTACGAATAAAGTATGCCAGTCTATGTTTAAAATAATAAGGGAACTCTCTATTGTTTTCCTCACTTATTTACTGACAACTCACTTATTCACTGAGTGGGGATAAAGATGCAAATATATTTCTTACTTTCTATACTGATAGAGTACAGTTAATTCTAATATACAGATCCAGGTTTTCTTACATGAGAGATCTGCTCTTTTGAATCAATATCCAATTTAATTCAGTGCACATTTACCTCCAGCCTGCTATGTACAGGACATTTGGTACATTAAACAAAAAATCTAATCCTGAATGGGTTTTTTCACTTCAGTTACAAAGTATTAAGCAAGTTGTACATTTAATTGTTCAAAAGGTCAGTTAAATTAGAAATATTTTTTAAATTTGGCTGTCATATTACCAATTCTATTTTAATTTCACATCCATTCTAGATATAGAGTCAATTTAATTATATTCTCAAGCTTATCCATCAGGTTGGCTAGCCTTTGATTTTAAAGCTAACAGAAAAGCTCTTCACCAAAAAAAAAAAAAAAAAAAAATACTCAAAGAAGAGCATACACAATAAATAATTTTGACATGAAAAGGACCTTAAAATTGTAAAAGAACCTAAAATTGATATAATGTGCCTTTACACTTCTCAGAGCGTGTCACATCCAATATTTTATTTGGTCCTCAGCACAACTGTATGTAACTGCTACGATCCTGCTCTACAGAGGAAGGATGGAGGTTCAAGGAAGATCGCCGTGCCCAAGATCACTCAGTTTGAAAGCAGCAGCTCTGGGCAAAACCCTCATCATTAAGTTGGTGCTCTTTCCACTCTGCCACACTTAGCATGGTGATCACCTTTCACAACATATGCCGTACTTGGAATGCAGTAGCAGGTGATGTCATCATAGTACAGTGGACCCTTGACTTACACACTTGATCAGTTTCCAAGGGGGGGTTGGTTTTAAGTCAATACAGCTGAGGTCTGGATGTTTACCTGGGTACACACTACAGAAAACAAGAGGCAGATAAATCTTCCACCAACCTAATTAATTCAAGTTGTTCACATGTCAGACCAATCGTAACTTGAGAGTCCACTGTACTATGACAGCAGATGCCATTTATTAAACATTAAACGTATACTACTTAGATATAGACTTTATGAATATAGCACAAAGATTAAATACATATCAAAATGCACAGCCCAGGATTTAGCACACAATAATTATCCTATTAACAGCAACCATTGGTCATACTTTTAATTCATAAAAACACTTGTAATCGATGCATTTTATCTGTTTGTCAAATGAGAAAATGGAGTCTCAGAATATTTAGGGAATGTGTTCAAGGTCACATAATCACAAAGTGACCAAACCCAGGATTTCAGCCCAGATGTCACTAACTCCATGGAATCCCCATGTCATTCGGATTTCTTCTGATACTGAAAGTCAGAGAAGCACACGAAAAAAAGTGAAAAACCTGTAACTAAAAATATGAGAGGATATTTTCCTGTTACCTTGATAGGCCAAGCAGGCAAAGGCTGCAGAAAGTTAGACTCGTAAGGGTAGTCCACCATAGCCAGATTCACCCACGTTTCAGAAATCCACTCTTTGAAATGTTGGACGTCGTCTAAAGTCAAAGGACTACACAAGTGAAGGGCTTGAGCAAGCCACCATAGACCACTGCCTGGGAACAGAATTACATTGATGGAATCTAAGAAGTAGTAGTCAACAGAGGTCTTCACAGGTCGTTAGTCACTCACTTAATATTCAGGAAATTAAATTCTCTATACCACTTTATCAAGGAATGTTTTCAACATTTGACAAAACATTTTTAGAGCAACTGGATAATCTCATGTTGCCTATTTTCATAGAATATACCTGAATTAGGATTCTGCACTATTCCCCTGCTTTAAGATATTATTGAAATAAATTAACAGAAATACTGTAAAATAATGAGAGTAAACTACAACCAAATAAAACAAATAGATGTATCAAAAAATACAGCATTGAGCAAAAGATAAGACAAAATAGCATACACTATGCAATTTCAATTATTAAAAATATTTATGGCTTAAAGAGAGAGGATAGTGATTAGCTGATGTGGAGGTAATGATAGAAAGGCATGAGAGGATTTTTCAGATGCTGTTGTTTGTTCTTCATTCATTTGTGTGTGTGTGTGTGTATGTGTGTGTGTCTGTGTGTGTGTGTGTGTGTGTATTAGAAATAACATGATTTCTTTTACTTGAGATAGGGCCTCACAATGTTGCCCAGACTCATCTCAAATTCATGATGCCCCTGCCTCAGCCTTCTGAAGAGGTGGTATTACAAGCATGCACCACCTCACCCTGATGATATTCTTTCTCTTCCTGGATGCTAATTACACTAATTACTCTCTTTGTGAAAACTCATTAAGCTATACATCTCAATATGTATATTTTTCTATATGTTTTACTCTAATGAAATATTGCTTAAAAAGTGGAAATGTTGAGCTGAGGCTATAGCTCAGTGGTAGACTGCTTGCCTAGACTGCACAAGGGCCTGAGCTCAATTCCAGCACCCCCTCAAAAAAAAGAAAGCAGAAGGCCAGGGATTTAGCTCTGTGGAACAGCACCTGCCTCACAAGCACAAGGTCCTGAGTTCAATCCCTGGTACCAAAGAAAAGAAAAGAAAGTGGAAGTGTTAACATTGAACCATTAATTAAAGTTAAAAATAAACAACCACAAATCCATTCTCTTAATTACAGCTTACCTGTTTTTGAGAGTCGATTAATAGCATCCCAGGACCTGCGGATGCTCTCTGAACAATTTGGACCACTTTTCCTAAAATCTGCAGTTACAATCTTCATAAACACATTACAAGGAACCAAATCCTCAAACTGCCAGATAGGAGCAGAAGCGGCAAGAGCTCTAAACAGTAAGAGAAACAAGAAAGGAAAAAAAGAAATACATAACTTACTGAACTCAAGTTTTACAGTTGAACTGAGACTGAACAAAAAGGATGAGGAAAGAAAATACCTCTTATTGAGACAGAAATGAGAAATCTTAGTACAATAGAATGGAGTATGAAACATATCTCTTAGGTTTTCCTGGACAATCATGACCAGCGTGAGTGTACTTACCCAACCACCACGTGAGGATATTTCATTCTGAACCAGGCTGCAAGCATGCCACCATAAGAGCCCCCTATGGCAATGACAGGTTGATCTCCAGCTCCTGGGATGGTTCTTTTCAAATGTCTAATTAACTCTGCAAAATCAGCCAGAGCTTGTTCTGATGTCAGAAAATTCAAGTGTCTGGAATCCTAAAGAAAAATAACAAAGAACATGGGTATAAATGTGCACAAAACAGTTTAGGCATAGCGTAGGTCCAGAAAAGAACCAGAGTCAGATAAATTTCTCTCCAGATAGACTCTCTAGGCAATCGAGCTAAAATGCCCAGTCAAACCAATAGCTTTCCTGATTTAAACAACTCATGAAAGCAATTTTAAGTTTGTGGAAGAGCATAATATATTTTCAAATGTAATTTCTATTCAATGCTATTTCCTAAAGGCCGTGTTGAGGTTGTAGAGATTACAGAAACAAATTCTAAGTAACATTTAACAGTAAATGTGATAGAAAATAAAACTAAGCATAAAAGACAATGGTAAGATTATAACTTTTATTTCAAACCTTGACACTTTAAAATGTCCACCATGTAGCCAAAGGCAAACTAAATCCTATGGACAAAAGAGGTAAGGATCACCAATAAAAATAAAACCCATCCTTCCCCATCAAAATTATTATTTATTATGTAGACCGTATCAAGAACTGGAACAAATTAGGCTGCCTATCATAAACAACTATAAAACTGAAAAAGGAAAAATATATTTGTGGGCATTGGAAAACAGGTGGCGGGCTGGGGATTTAGCTCAGTGGTTCCGCTTCCTGCCTTGCAAGCGCAAGGTCCCAAGTTCAATCTCTGCTACCAAAAAAAAAAAAAAAAAAAAAAAAATACTGAGATCCCTGAGTGAAGAAAAACTCATTAAGTCCTGTGATCGTCCAGCTCACTGTATGGGTGCAAGTTCTCTCTGCAGTGTAGGAAAGTGAAGTTCAAATGGAGCCCTGCTAAACTGAGGAGGCTGAGGCAGGAGTGGGGAAGGTATCTGTAAATGCTTGATACTCCTTTTGGAAACAGCCCATCTGCCCATCAGTTGGAAACTGGATAAAGAAGATGTGGTTTTTCTATAAAATGGAATGCTACTCAGCCATAAAGACTGAGAAATTAGAGTCATTCTTAGGAAAATGGATACATATTGAGGATATACTCCTAAGTGAAATGAATAAGTCATACATGTGTAAATACCGAATAGTTTCTCTGGTGTGAAAAACTATACTAGTACACAAGATCCTAATGGGATAATTAACAATGTGAAAAAGGAAGTAAAGGGCTAAAGGTGTAGGGAAAGTGGGAAGGGTAGGGGAAAGGGAATAAGGGAAAAGAAAAAAATATGAGAAAATGAAAAAATGGAAATAAAATGTAAATGGGGAGGGGAGGAGGGGTGAAGCGAAGGCAGGGACAAGGGGAAAAAATGAGAACCAAGACCTGTCATGTAAAGGTACAAGATCCCAATAATGAATGTAACTGTACTGTATACCTAGAATGTACCAAGAAACTCAATAAAAAGAAAAAAAAAGGTGAAGCAGAATTCCACTCCCTTTGAACTCAGGCTGAACGCAGTGACTTGACCCTAGAGGCGGCACTAATGGCACATAACTACCGAGGTTAGATCGCCAAATCAGCACTGCAGCTTCACCATGCCTGTGCTCTGTTGGTCTGTCAACTTTGAGCGAAGTTGGCGGATATGTCGTGAAGTCACTCACGAAGGCCCTTCAAGAACCCTAGGTGGAGAGGAAGTGAAGCTTTTTGCTAAGACCCAGCATGAGTTGGAGGGGCTGTCCCAGCTCCAGTCGAGTGTCCTGGGGATGAATGCAATACTGGCTGACAGGGGAGCCTCATGAGATCCCTGAAACAGAACCACCCATCTCAGCCACTCCAAATTCCTCACCTAAAGCAACTGTGAGGTAATACACACTCCTTCTTGGTTTTTAACTTTTTAAATTTTTATCAGTACATGTGTGCTGTACATAATTATGTTCATCCTGGAGAACTGGTACACGAACATAACAGATTAGAATTCATTTTGCATCCCCTTCTTTCCTTCCCTCTCCTTTCCCTCCATTTCTTCCCCACCTTTCCATTTACAAAAGATCTATGCCCCTGTTTCCCACCATCTATCTTTTATTTTTCCCTTTACTTTATGTATACTTTGGGATTCTCACATAAGAGAAACTGCGACAGATAAGCTTGTGTTTCTAACATTATGGTCTAAAGGTACATCCACTTTCCTAAAAATATCTCAAATCTTTCCTTTCATGGCAGAGTAGAAATCCATTGTGTATAAATATCACATTTTCTTTATCCATTCATATGCTGATGGACATGCACAGGCTGCTTCCGAGATTTAGCTTTAATGAATTGGGCTGCTACAAACATGGACATGCAGGTTTGACAATTTGTTACATACCAGAAGATCCTGCATGCTTGGATCTCACCACTCACTCCTTCCAACACTGGGAACCATACTGAATCAGTTTCCAGCTTTCCTCTTGCCTAAGTATGCCACCTACTTCTTTAGCCTTTCCCTATCCAAGATGTATATTTTCTGATTGCTTACCTCCTCTCTCACCATCTATCGCTATTCTTTGCTTCCAGTATTTGTGGCACCATGTATAGCTGAGAGTCATTTTTTCCAATCCTCAAATAGTATCTGTGACAGCCTTCATATTACTGACAAACTCTGTGAGCCCAAAAAGGGAAAAAGCATATCCAAAAGAGTCCTTGGCTCCATTTTGCTAATAGAACATGAATTATAACCATTTAAAGAGTTTTGTTTTTATCTGCAGCAAGCTGGCTGCTTCTCAATGATTTCAACACCTGTCGATTTCTCTAATCAGTATGTAATGCGTATAAAACACTCAGCTAAAGAACAGTTTCCCACACATCCAAACAAATATCAGCAAATCCTTCCACTTTTTATTTAGCATACAATTTGTGTTTTTTCTTTTTAATTTCTTACTATTTTTTATTTATAAGATAATAAAACCTCTGAGAATTGAGAATAAAAGTTTAAAACTCCTTTCAAAATAGGCAGTCTATGGATAAAATATGATTTTTTTAATAAAATGGAGTGCTACTCAGCCATAAAAAATAAGAAATTAAGAGATATTTATAGCTAAATGGATGCACATTGAGGCAAGACTCCTAAGTGACATAAATAGAACACACATGTGTAAATACTAAATAGTTTCTCTGGTGTGAGAAACTGAAAGTGTAAATAAGGACTAAAAGGTATAACAGATAATGTGAAATACGAAGAAAAGGGACAAAGCAGAGGGGAAATGGGAGGGGTAGGGGAAAGGAAAGGAGGGAATGGAATTCATATGAGCAAATGAAAAATAATGGAAACAAAGTCTCTGTAGATAGGGAGGGAGGGAGGGGTTGCAGAGAGGTCAGGGGAATGGGGAAAAAATGAGAACCAAGAATGATTATGTAAAGGTACAAATTACCAACAATGAATGTCAGTATATTGTATGCATTAAATGTACCAATAAAATTAATTTTTTAAAAATAGGCAGTCTAAAAAATGGCCCCACATGCTTAGAGCTATCTCAAAGCATGATATTGTATACTGGTAGTATTCTAGATGATCTTAGGTAACCCACCAACATTTTTAATATAACATTTTAGTATAACATCTTAGTTTAATGTAATTTAGAAAAACAATTAGTACATAAAGCCTCTAGTTTAAAAAAAAAACTAAGTTTGCAAATAAAAAAGGGACCAAGAGATGGAAGGAAAAGGAAAAGGAAGAAAGGGGAAAAGAAAGCAAAAATAATAAAGATGTATGATGTACATGTACCAGTTCCTGACAGTGTATGTAGTCACTGTCTACTACAAACACATACTAAGAAAAATAAAAGTTTTTAAAAGTGAATTCCACATCTTTATAAAGTGAAAAATTAAGAAGATAATAGGACAGGTAGCAAGTTACTACCACCAACATCACAAGGATAGAACACAGTGAGTGCAGCTGAGGAAAAAGTTCCCAGCTTAATGGGTGTGGAGTCTGTGGCTAAGGCCAGAGCATCCTGTAAGGAGAGGACAGGCACAAAGGAACAGAGTCTGCTTGCCGCACTGTATCAGAGAGTTTACTGGTCCTTACTTCATTGATTATATTTTATTTTAAAAACATATTGGACAAATATTTATGTGCTCATTATATTTTTCCAGTAGCAGATCCAATAATTAAAGTGTATGGTTTATAAAGCAGAACTGTTCCCCAGCCCTTCTGAAACAGGGCCAGGCTCCGCTTGGTCTCTGCAGTCCTGCCCAAGGCTGGCCTGACCACTGAGCTAGACCCTGTCCACTCGAATTACACATGGAAAGGAAAGGCGAAGCACAGATTACTGATGTTTCAGGTTGTTTGAGTTAAAACTATCTCACAGTGGTATGTGGATGTAAAAACATGTTCTAAAATTTAAAAAGTAAAAAGTTAAACTTAAAAGTAAGAAGTAACTACTTGTCCTTTTGCCTATTAAATAGCAAATAAATATTTAGTAATTAAGTAAATACAAATGCTAGCACTCTTACCTTGAATGAGTCCGCACCAAAGGGGAGGGATTCCCCATAGTATCGATGCTCAGCAAACACCAACATAGCTTTCAGTTCCTCAGCCACATCCCACATGAACCCCTAAGAAGAGTTTACAGGGTCACAAGCTAAATCGGGACATGAAAAAAACATCAATGCTTTTGGCAAAGCAGACAAAATAAATGTTAAAGCAGACCAGAAAGAGTTCTCTGGAAAGGTGCACTGTGGAAAGAGTGAAACAAAAATAAGTTCAAGCTGCTCATCCACTAGTCAGTCATTCTGACTCTTCCTACCCCGAACCTCGAGGCTGAGAATGAACAGTATGTCTCAGTCTTCAAAGTGCACTGTGTGTCAAAAATTCTAGGACACCGCTAAAGAAACCTAAGTTAGCCACCTACTCAGATGTACTTACAACATCAAAAAGAAAACAGTACAAATAACCATATTAAACTCCCTGGGGATTTTAAATTAGTCTTATTTTTATTGGAAATGAAGTGGTAGCTAACAATAGCTAATGTTAACAGAGTCATTATGTATGTCAGGCACTATTTTAAATACTTCATATATATGAATTCACTACATTATCACAATAAATAATAAACAGACACTTTGATTATCCCCATTTTACAGACAAGAACACTGAGGCACACGATCTGAAATGAACTTTGAAATTCACGTAAGTGGCAGAGCCAAGATTCAAAGATAGACTATGTGATTCCAGAGTACAATCATCAAGTGCTGTTAGACCGCCTTTTTGAAACCCTAACGGCTGATCATTAGTCATTCACTGAATTTTATCACTTACCTCAACTGTGGCCTCAAAAATCTTTTTCATCAAAGTATTCCAAGAAACCACAGGTGGACTCGATCTAGCATACACCAAAATTGTCGCTTCTAAGAGCACCTCGTTGCTTTTTATTAAGTTACCACTCCCAAACAAGAACTAAGAAATTTAAACTGTTTTTGTTTTGGTTTTTTTGGTTTTTTTAGTACCGGGGATTGAACTCGGGTCCTTGCTCTTGAAAGTCAGGCCACCGAACCGCTGAGCTAAATTCCTGGCCCTAACTGTTTTTGTTTTGATCAATAAGCACATTACAAGAACCACATGAGAGAAGTAGCTCAGTGGTAGAGTCCCTGTCCAACATGCACAGGCCCTGAGTTCCATGCCCAGTACCACAAAAAAAAAAAAAAAAAAAAAAAAAAAAAAAGAGAGAGAGAGCTTCATGCATGTGAGGACGGAGAATTTAACCTGGTAACAGTGATGATTCCAGTAATAATATTCTCTTTCCAGGACCTACTCATACCCTGTCATATATCTACAAATCCAGCCAAAGCACACATTTTTCATCCTGCCTCACTCTGTGGGGCTGATCTCCCTTTCTTCAACACTATGGTGGCACGTACAGATCTCTATTAACATGCCATGATATTTGTTTGCATGTTTCTTGCCCTGTGGGACTATGAGTGTCTTAAGAGTGAGAACCATAATATTCAGATCTCTGTGGAATTGGCTTCAGGCTTTGAGAGGAAGCAATTTAATTGAACTGATTCACAGTGTAGTAAGTGATTTTTTGCCTGCATCTATTTCAGAGGCATTATTTTTTGAGAGGCACACATAATATACTAGTGCTATGTGTTTACAAGAGCCTTTATCTTCTTAGTCTTTAGAACAACTCTAAGAACTAGATTTTTTTATTATATCCATTCAACAGATGAGAAAACTGAGGCACAGAACAAGAAACTTTCCCAAAGTCGCACAGAAAAGTAGCAAAAGCAAAATTCGAATCTTGTCATTCTGGTTAAGTCTTCACTCTTGACCACTATACTACACTTCCTTTCAGAAAAATGAGCCCCCAGAAGTGAACATGCAATTGGAATGTTTTAGTAAGCAAAGCAGATGTGTGAGATAGGCTAGGGTCCAGGATCTGCCCTTCTAGGTTCCACCCCTGGTAGGTTCTCTGGAACTACTCCTGTACTGAGGAGCTCATCCTTTCTACACTCCTCACAGTAGGGATCCAAAGCCAGCCTGGGGTTCTGCAGAAGCGCCTGTGCAGCAGTGTCTAGTGGAGGCAAGAACAGCTCCTGCCTACAATAAAGAAGAACGAGAAGTGGGAAATCACTAGACTGGAGAAGCTGTACTGAGACCTGGAATAAAAAGGAAGTCACTCAAGGAAAAGAGACAAGGTGGCTGCCACTGTTTCAAAGAAGGGAGTAAAGGGTCAGGAATTTAGCTCAGTGGTTCTGGTGCCTCCTCGAAAGCACAAGGGCCCGAGTTTGATGCCTGGTACCAAAAATAAAAATAAAAATAAAATAAGGGAGTAGGAATCTGACAAAAAGGCAATCTGGTTTTTTTGTTTTTTGTTTTTTGTTTTTAAGACAGGGTCTCACTATGTAGTTGAGACTGACCTGGAACTCACTATGTAGCCCAGATTGGTCTTGAGCTCACAGTGATCCTCCTGCCTCAGCCCCCTAAGTGCTGGGATTACTGGTGTGTGCCACCACGCCTGGCCAGAAAGGAAATCTTAAATTCACTTGTCGCCGACCCAAAAGACATAGGCATCCTAGTATCTCATTTCTCAGGGAATTGTTTCATCTTCAACTATTGTATTTAGATTCTTAACATCCACAGGAAATCAGAAATGAGGAATCCAATAACAGTACAGTTGGATTCATACCTTTAGTTTCAATTCAATTCAGCAAGAGTTTACTGAGGCGTCCTGAATACCAGGCACCAGGCCAGATATTGGTTTTGGAGATAATACAGTTAATCCCCACTTTACAATAATTCACACAATAGCTTTTTGGTAGAAAGTTAACATTTTCTAGTCAGCTCATTAACGTGTTTAAAAGGACACTTTCTTCATTTTCTGTGTTCTTCTAAATTAAATTTTGTTAATGGATTTAAGTATTATAAAAGGTGACAAAAAAAGCAAGTTATCAAGTTATATAATTTGCACCCTCACAAATGCAAGAAAAATGGTAGAATGGGAAAGCTAAACTTCACAATCTGTCCATTCCCATTTGACAGTCAAACCTGTATTTTTTTATTTGCAATGGCTTTGTTTTGGTTTTATTTTTTCATACACATATCAGATATTTACTGAGCACCTACTACATGAGTAATATAGTCCTGGCCTTTTTGAAAATACAACACTGAATAAACATACAAAGATTCCTACCCTTGAATTTATCTTCTAGAAGCAATGAATCAAAACAAACTATGCAATAATACTCCTTTGCCTGTTTCCAACATAACCTGTTTGCTCTAGAAATAAACTGGGATTTATAAAACAAATTTTTAATTCAATTTTCCAAGCAAAGCATGTGAAGCTTTACACAGCTAATCACAGCCAATGAGGTTTATCCAAGACAATTATTGCTAACTGAAAGCTTTTGATTCTTTTCATTTGTAATTCTTTAAAGTTAAACATGCAAGCTTCTTCAATATCTGTATGTGTTCTTCAGCGAACTGTCTGTTCATGAAGTTTTGCTATTTTTCTATTACTAGCAAGGTTGTCTTTTCATTTTTACTTTTTTAAAGAACTTTAAAATTAAATATTCTAATGCTTAGCTTAGCATGGTGGTCACATCTGTAATCCTATCACTCAGGGAAACCGAAGTGGGAGAATCACAAATTCAAACTCAGCCTTGGCAATTTAGTACCTTAGTGAGACTCTATTTCAATCAGTCAATCCAGTCGATCAATTTTAAAATGTCTGGAGATATAGTTCAATGTAAAGGTCTTGGGTTCAACCCCTCTACCACTCAAAAAAATAGTAATACTTGGTCCACAAATATTTTTTCTAGTTTATCATAATAAAAGACAAATTGTATAAGCAAAAGAATTTCACAAATCTGAACATACCGTATTATTGCAAAACCAGACAATGTCCCCTTCATTACCAGTGTAGAAAAGTATTGATCCACCATCTCTCTGCCAGTGTTTATCAGATATTAAGTAACGTTGTTTAAAAGTTTTAGGGTTATTAAATCCAAAATGATCAACCTATAATAAAAACAAAACAGAGAAGACTTATTTCAAAGAAAATTAATTAAATGAGATCAACATAAAAGTAATTAATTCTTTCATTAAATCAACCTATGCAAAAACATCAAAAGAAAATTTTAAACTTTATTTGGTCTTAGTTTTATTAATAGTAACTTTGAAATTATTTTCTTTGGATGGTTAGACTAAGCAATGTATGTTACTGATGGTTAGGATTTTCAGTGCAAAAGAAAAGATACAATTGGGGCCAGGGATTCAGCTCAGTGGTTCTTCCACCTGCCTTGCAAGTGCAAGGTCCTGAGTTCAATACCCGGTATCGGGAAAAAAAAAAGATTATAGAGCCAGGTGTGGCAGCACATGCCTATAATCCCAGCACTAAGGAAGCTGAGCTCCTGCTGCAAGTTTGAGTCTAGCCTAAGCTACATAGTGAGTTCAAAGCCAACCTACTGAACAGCAAGAAAGAAGGAAGAAAAGATACAATTATAAAATTAACTAGCTACTGAAAAATATAATAATGGCCAGGTGTGGTGTCACATGACTATAATCCCAGCACTCAGGAGATTTAGGCAGAAGGATCACGAGTTCAAGGCCAGCCTGGGCTACATAGTGAGTTCAAAACCACCCTGAACTATATAACAAGACCCTGTCTCAAAAAATCAAAAATCAAAACCAAAAAATAAAAATGTTAGAATCAAATTGGAAATATAAGTATTAACCCATTATTTTTTTAATTTTTTTAATTTTCAAGTAAAAATTGTATATATTTACAGTGTACAACATATTTGAAATATATATACTATGTAGAATGACTAAATTGAACTAATTGTTATAAGTATTACACAAGAATACTTAAAAATCTACTTTCAGCAGTTTTCAAGTACACAGTACATCCCACTGTTTTTCAAAATGCATAATACCCTTTAGTACTTGAATTTTCATTATCCAAACTTTCAATATCAAGTTTAAAAAACTAAACAGACTACTGAAAAGGTTTATAAACATTGTCAATGTAGTACCAATAAAGATTTCAAGTGTCAGGATTTTGGAGTCTAATATCATTCCCATTAAAAGGAACTAGGACTTGTTAGTGAAGTGGTCAACTGACACTTGGAACAAGGAAGTTACAAGATAAGCCTATATATCTTGCTGTGCAAAGCAGTATCCAAGTATTAATAGAAATACATTAATGGGCATAAAAGCCAATTACAAGGGACTATCATGGGCTAACATTTTAATATACTGAAAGTAAGACAAGCTGAACATTAAAAGAATAATCGTGATTTGTTCAAACATGCAATTCATGATAATACATACACTAATGTGTAAGAATTTTTTTTTCAGCTTTAATTGAGTTTATTGGTACATTTTAGGGATACAGTACAGTTACATTCATTTTTGGGATCTTGTACCTCTACATGACAAGTATTGATTCTCATTTTTTGTAAGAATATTTTTAACAGCAAAGAAAAAATTCATTGGCCACCACTTAAGGAATAACTTATAACCAATTTCTTACTTTAAAATTGGGAATTAAAGTGTAAACAATTCAATATTTAACCTGTCCTTCCAATGGAATTGTATCCCAGGGTACCAATTAGTCCCACTGATGAAGAGCCGTTTAATCAAATGTCAGCTAATGTAGAAAGAATTAGACAAGTGACAGTCCTGCAAAGTTACTGATTCAAGCAAGAATTATCAAGTGGTGTTAAGTACATTAGAAGAACGGATGACCAAACATTTATACAGTATAACATCAAAGTGATACCACACAGAATATTCTCTTGTTGCAAGGGGAAACGTAACCTTGTAAGAAAGGACCAGACTGTCAGCACCTGAACTAGCAGCAGATGTCACCATCACTAAGGTGATGTAGCTCTTCCCACGAGCATCATGAAATACATATCACCCTACATTCTGTGAAGAAACATTCAAATCGCATGTTAAACCAGACTAGATCTAATGTCCAGACTCCAAGAAGCACACACAGAGGGTAAGTGAGTGATTTGCAAATGCTCAGAAGAGGCAATCAGACACAGCTGAAGTAGAAACGTTTTATAAGGCAGTGGCAAAGCACTATCATTCCCTTTTGAATCTTTTAGATTAAATGAATCTTAAGGAACACGATAACAAGATGGGATGCATGATCCTGATTGGATCCTAATTTAAGCAAACATGGGTTAATTTTAAAATGGACAAAGTATTAGATGACATTGCAGACTTTTTAGGAGTAGTCATATTATTTTGGCTATCTGGATAATGTTTATTTTTTACAGCTTTACACCAAAAAATTTACAAATAGCTAACACATTGTCTTAATTTACTTGACATTGCTTCAGCATAAGAAAGTAAGGTGAATTTAAAAGAACTGAAGACGTAGCTCTACTGAAAGAGACAAAACATACAAACTACTGAGACTTTGTAAGACTGCTAATATAAAACAGTTCAAAAAAGACAATAATTTTAAGTGAACTTAAGATTCTTTTTTAGTTTGTATGTGTGTGTGTGTGTGTTTGCATTGTAAGACCTTTTAAGTCATTTAAAATACAATTATTAAATTCTACTCCATGGTAAGATTGGTATACAACTATGTGAATTTATAGGGTTTCTCACGGTACAGGGCCCCGCTAAGCTTTTAGGATCAGGGAGGCTGAACTCCTCAGTGGTTTGGAGGCACAGAGAGGCAAACATGATGCCTAGGCAGGAGCAAACACAGCTGCTGTTCTACCACTGCTCCAGCCTCCCCAGAGGAAGGATTGTTCTTATCTCAACTAGAACCTGCAAGATTTCCCTAGATTCCATCTACACACACACTCATGCATGCACGCACACTTCATATACCACAGGTCCCAAAATGCAAGTATCTCAAAAGTGCATATTTCCTGACATATGCACTTCTAAGATACAGACTTCATGATGAAGTCTGTGTACTACACACCCCTCCTATTGTGTATGTTCTTTATTCAGTCACTTATTTAACAAGCATGGACTGGGCTCTTTTTCTAGACCAAGTATTGACTTAAGAAATGGGATAAAGAATAGGTTTGCTGGGTGTGGCAGCACACATTTGTAATCTCAGCACTTGGGAGGCTGAGACAGGAGGATAGCTATGAGTTTGAGGCCAGCCTGAACTGCACAATGAGCCCTCATCTAAAAAAAAAAAGAGTAAGTTGGACCTAAACCCTTGAATTTATCTTGAACTAACTGAATTCATCCACTCAGCCTAAAAATACATGCACAAGAGAAACAGACAAACAGTAGAGGGAATATGCAAGCAATGTCACCCGTGTCCACCCAGTGCCGCAATTCTCCATGTGAGATACCTGGGCTATGTGAGGTCCCAGCCAGCAGCATTCGATCACTGGAAAGGTGTCAGAAATGCCATCCCTCTGGGTGAATCCCAGATATACTAAAACTGAAATCGTGCACTTAGAACCCAGTAACCTCTGCTCTAACAAGTTCTAATGATAATTCTTATCTACCAAAGAGGTTTTGAAACCAGTGAGTTAGAATAAACATCAAAACAAGATATGACTATGCTTTTCCTTCTCTTATCAAATTTTCACAGTATCTCTAATACTGTAAACATCTCACTGTGCTGAATGAGCCTCTGGTATGGGTTGGTGGGTTGGTAATACCCAACACAGCCCCCAAACACAAGTCAAGTGGGTCATATGAAGTACAACAATAACAAAAAACAAAAAATGTAATGACCACTAGGTCATTCTAATAAGATGCCTTCACATGGAATTTTCAAAGACAACATTTCCATACTTTACCTATTGACTTGCAAACTTAACCTTAAGCTATTGATGTAACCTCTGAAAGAGGCCAAAAAGAATCACATCTCAATAGACCAGTCTAAAATTTTCAAATTTGCAAACATGGTTGTTACGTGTTTATGTATGTCAGGTTAAATAAAAGTAGTGAAAAGTTCTTGCCAGGAGAAAACTTTCCATCTAGAATTATAAGTTCCACCTTTCACAGAAATTTTAGAACCAAAGAAAGCCAAATTATTTGCGTGGCCACACCCAAGGCACTCTGCTCTTGGCCATCTGCCTTAACTGGGAAGAGTGGGGAAAGAAAGACAAATCCTCCTGTAGTAGAAAGAAAGTGAGCATGTGCTGGGAATAAGCAGAAATGAACTTGAGCCCCTACTAGCTATAAGCCCAGGCCAGTCACTTAACTCTTCTGAGCCCCAGTATTTTCCTGTATAAAATACACAACATATTATTAAAAGAACTGCTGTGAGAATACAGAAAAATGTACCTAAAGTATTAGGCATAAATTCCTAATGTATAATAAGCTTCCAATAAATGTTAGTTCTCCTCTCCATCTCATTTGCACACCAACCCTAAAATCAGGTTCTTAGGTGGACAAGAGATAATGATGATCCGAGAATTACAGGAAGTAGAATGAGAATGTCAAAACCTCCAATATTTTTAGTGTTTCACCTAAACAACTTAACACACGCAATGAAATGTCCTTTGCATGACCTGAATTTACAGATTATTTTTTGCTCCTTCTTGCAAAACTAGTTTTTAATATCGGTGAGGCACACAAGGGGCAGTGTGCCCTCTGCTGTTCAGAACTGAGACTCACACGTCACTTCCAGTTCAGGGCTCCTGAGCAGATTTTGGAAATCACGACATGAAAGGGTCTAAGAAACCATTTGATCAGTGTTGCTCAACAGAGGAAACAAGGTTGAAAGAGATCAAATGACTTGGCCAAGGTCAAAGTGGAGCTGGAACTTTAAATCACTCTTGTAATTTGGTTTGCTGAAATAACTAAAATAAGCAGCAATGCTGTAAGAGCAACACAAGCATGAACTCAAAAAGGAAAAGACACCTCTGGTTACGTTTAACAGTTCTTTCTAGAAATGGTCCAAGAAAAGATGCTTCCCTCCTTCACCACAAGGAGGAGAAATGGACGTTTAAAAAATAATAATAATAAATAAAATAAAAAGAGATAGACTTAATAGGTACCCCAAACGAGCAAAAAAT